GTAGGGTTCCCGGAGGCCCTGTGCACCGGGGAGGAGAAGGAAGAGGAGGAGGAAGAGGACAGGCGAAGGAGCCCACGACCCGTCACTTTCACGCTGGGCAATGAGATACTGGGGCTGGGACCGGAGACCGAGTTTCAGAGCCCCGATGCCGAGGTCTACATGCACTTCATGAGGAGCCACTGCTGCTACGATGCCATCCCCACCAGCTGCAAGCTCGTCGTCTTTGACATCTCCCTGGAGGTGACAAAGCAGGGCATCAGCGGGGACGGGCGGGGAGGGTAGCAGGGCCGGGGACCCTCTGACCCACCTCCCCGCTCTGCCAGCAGATCAAGAAAGCCTTCGTGGCACTGGTGGCCAACGGGGTGCGTGCCGCCCCGCTCTGGGACAGCAAGACACAGAGCTTTGTGGGTGAGTGCTGGCAGCGCTGCCTGGCCCCTTCCCCTGCCTGGCAGCGAGGGTGCCGGCAGGGCTGCCAGCCCCACGTGTCTCCACAGGGATGCTCACCATCACCGACTTCATCAACATCCTCCACCGCTACTACCGCTCACCCCTGGTGAGTGCAGCAGGGAGGGCACAGGGGGTCAGGGCAGGCGTGGGTCAGGGAGGGGCTGTCCCCAGCTCTCCTGGTTCCCTCTTCCCTTTCCTGGTCCCCTTGTCTCTCTCCTGGTCACCTCTTCTTCACCAGATCATGACCCCGGGATGCTCTGGGCCAACCCAGCGTCCACTTGGTGCCCCTCTGCCTGGCACCCAAGTTGGGATCCCTGTGCTTAGGGCGATGGGGTGGGATGCCCGGGGAAGGAAGCGATGCCCCAGGGTCCCCTCAGTTCCCCATGGGGCCACTGTGACCAGGGCATCTCCCTGCCCTCAGGTTCAGATCTACGAGGTAGAGGAGCACAAGATTGAGACCTGGAGAGGTAAAAAGCAGCGGGCAATGGGGGTGGCTGGGCTGGGGATCTTGCACAGGGCATGGAAGTGGCCTCTGGGGGGGCAGGGCTGCATGAGGGGGCTGGGAGAACCCCCCCCCCCCCCACCTCTC